GGGCCCCCTTGGGTAAGGTGAGGAAGGAAGGGTGGAGAGGGAACAGTGGGGAAGACATCAGCACCAACACTTACTTGGGAGCAAAGAGAAAGGACGAGAAGTAAGGAAGGATGGCAGGAGGGAAGACGAGGACACCATCTGCAAAACCTCAATGCAGAGGGAAAGTGGTGATGGCAGAGCCACTGCCTGCCTCAGGTGGTGCAACCCCATGCGCTAGGCCTGAGCATAAGCTTTCGTAGACTAGGGTCCACTTCATTAGATGCAGAGAGTATTATCTTTGTTGGCACATCTGTTGCTGCCACATAGTGATGTGTGGAGAGCTGGGCTAACAGGAAGAAGATCCCCAGGCCTTTGGACGTTGATACCCAACTTCAAGCCAAGGCCACCTTCGGGGGGGGGGGGCAACAGATATCTGTTGCCACTGTTTTGCAATAAAATAAAATAAATTATTCCATGGAGAAGCAGCTCCCATCATTGTAAAAAGGAGGCCAAGTATGGGTTGGGAACATAAAGGCCAGATGGAGGACCTTTGTTGAATTAATTCTTGGATTTGATCGATTGTGTTTGAGATTGTTTTGACAATGCATTTGGATTTGACTTGTTTTACATTCAGATATATGCTGTGTTTTGTTCTAATGACATTCCTTCAGATATTTTGTGTTAACAGAGCTGGGGTGGTAGTACTGTTTTGCTGTTGGCGGCTTTGGGCTTTTTTTTGAACCAAAGCTGAGTGGGGGAGGTTGAACTGTGTACAATGCCTGGAGCTCCTTGGAGGAAAACGTGGGGTAAAAATGTAAATAAATAGCCAGCCATGCAAGAGGGAGAATCATGCTTCTGAGATTGCTGTGCAGGGCAAAAGCGTATACACGATAAAAACTGGTGCTTCCTGGAACATGTGGGCTCTGCATCCCCCTGGGATTTGAAACCGAACGCTTCCATTTTCCCTCTATATTTATGGATGGACAGGCAGAGATATACATGCACAAGATAATGTTTCATGCATCCAACAAAGTGCTCTCTAGTCTACAAAAGCTGATGCCACGATACATCTTGTTAGTCTTTAATGTGCCACAAAACTCTTGGCTATCTTGCATTGAAGCAATTCAACACAATTCCAGTGGAACATTGATGATTTATGCCCTGTGTGATCCTTGATACCTGAAGGTGAAGCATAGAACATACTGTATTTCTCTGGTATTGCGTCCCTGGAGCTTTCTTGACAGTTAAAGAGGTGGCTGGCATATTACTTCTGCAATGGTACCTTGAGCAGAATGCTAATTTGAAGCTGAATGTTGCCCGTGTCTTACAGATGAACACTCAAGTGCATGTTTGTACAGGAGTTCTGAAGTTTAAACGCAGAACTGGAATTTAAGTTGAAGTCAAAGGTTTTGGAAGATGCTGTGCTCTTCGCTGCAAAGATTGTGTTGCTTCTGAGAACGAGGCTGTTTCTCTAGATTCATTCATTTACAGCAAATGTTCTCAAGCATTGAGTTGTGGGCACAGCCATCTCCCAGACCCCCTTCCCCTGTTGATGGGTCTGGGTCACCATGTGCATTGTTGGTCCAGCAGGCAGTTTTCCTAATCCATCCTCATGACTGGACCATCCACTCAGGACATCAGTGAGGATACCATATCCATTGCAAGCTTGATATCCCTTTCCCAGGCCTGAGGCTTTCCTGACATTTCAGCCAACATGGCCAAAGGTCAGGGAGGGTTAGGGTTAGGGTTAGGAATTTTAGTTTGAAACATCCAGATAGCGTCATGATGGGAAGTTCTGCCTTAAAATATATTGTGATTAATATCAGTTGAGAGTGGAAATAGAACCCCTGATGATAGGGATAATAAAATAAGTACTAACTAGGAATAAGATAATAAGATAATAAAAAGTCATTTACACACTTGCTTGGAAGCAAGTCCCATGGAACCCAGTTCAACTTACTTTTGAGTAGGCATGCATTGGATTGCATTGTTAGAAGTCTCTTTTTGTAAACTGGCCACAGATGATGCTCTATCAATATCGGTCATTTTTCTCAGAACAAGCCTATTGATCTAAGGACATTATTAAAAATTAGAGATTCTTCATTGCTGTCCACCCTCTAACAGAGCAAAATTAGCCATATTACCTTTGGTTCAAAATCTGTTTTCATAAGGTGCGAGGCAGGGCTTGAAGTATTCCTGTGTCAAAGGTTGTACATTTTCCCATACATTGTAGCCATTCATAGCAGAGTCTCAAGTCAATATCACATTTTTGTTTTTTCACTTTTAGCACAGCAGATTACCTCTGAGAAAGCTGTTGGTTGCTGCTTTATCCAGCAATACGCAAGCTATTAGCAGATAGATTTGGGGGGGTGGGGTGGCTGGAGTCATCATGGAAACAATTTTGCAGTGAAATAGCTTCATTTAGATATGAACTTTAAAAATTTGCTTTTGAGTACTGAGCTTCCAAGACACACATGGTCCCAACAATGAAAATCATTATGATTATGGAAATCATAGGGACAGTGGGAACGAAATCTACCAAGCATTATGGCTATGTAATCTCCTCCATTCATTGCATTAGGATTTGCAGGGGCCTTCTGTTCAACCTCAGTTATAATTAAGGGACGTTGCATGGCAACATTGCTTGGTGAATTGTTCCCATTGTTTCTAGACAGGTAGAGAGACTAGGAATACTAATTCCTTTGAACAATAGTGTCCAGGAGGTAGGAGTGATGGTCCTGAATGGGGAAAAAAGCAGAACCACTATAATCACAGAGATCAGTGCAAAACCTAAACAATTGGGTATCATCATCTCCATGGAGATAATGGCTGTGTTTGCAAATAAATCAACTCTCTCAAAAGAAAGAATAGCTTCCCACAAAGAGCCTGCAGACAGTGCTTTTTATATATAAGCATCTTCAAATGCGACACCTCCCAGACACCCATTTTCAGTGCATTGTACCAAGTGATGTGCTTCCGTATTATGACAACTAAAGTTCCTTTGGGGGCACGTTTCTCTAGCTCATTGTGTGAGGGAAGCTGGAGTGTATTGCCAGTCTTGCCTTTTTATACTGCTGCAATGGCCAGATTATTTAATATCTTGAAGAGAAAAGCAGGGACATTTTTCATTAAATCAAGAATGACCTTCCCGCCCCCCAGCTTTAACTAAACAGATGCTGTGGACCATATGGTCCAGTTGCCCCTTGTTGAGAGAGACATTTCGGATTCAGCAAAGCTCTGCGGCTGGAAGGCTGTTCAAATTGCAAGGTGTGAGCAAGCAGTGTTTTGCAAAACTTATCAAAAGGAACTAAGGCAACATTTTAGAATGTAAATGAATGCAGTGCTATCCAAATGAGAGATATGCTAAGGCGTTATCTCTGTTTGGTAGGACAATTTACTACATTAGTACCTTTCAGTGGCACACCATCCAAGTTCTGAATTATAGGCTTGTTGTCTTGCCTTTGGGACCTATGAGTGCAGTAGATGTTAGATCACTAACTCCATGCATCTAGGAGCTTTAAAAAGAAGGCAGTCTAATCAAGACCTACGCTTGAGAAAACTAAAGCTCAGAACTTGTTGCAGCATAATCATATTTCAGTCATACATGACAATAATACTTTCTGATTTTCATGTTTCCAGTACAGTGGCAAGGAGTCTATTTCTAACGCATGTGCTACAATAGGATGTCTTTGTGCATACCCATGAAATGTACCCCTTAGGTTGAAATAGATATTATGGTTTATTGTTGATTATTTCTACAGGTCTCACAGTGTACAGAATGCTGTACCGTCGTCGTCTCAGCAACCTTGTAGGGCAGGTGTAGCCAACACGGTGGCCTATAGATGTTGTTGGACTACAAAGCCCATCATTCCTGACCATTAGCTATGCTGGATGGGGCTGATGGGAGATGCAGTCCAACATCTGCAGAGCACCACATTGGCTACCCACGCTAGACCCTGTGCTGTAGGGCCATTCAGATCAAATCAAGCAAGGATTTGAACTTTGATCTTCCACAGATCAAAACCGCTAGTAGTGTTGCCTCTCAGAATATTCCAAGTCTTCCTAACCAAATCATCTCATTCAGAATGCTTTAAAACTAAATTGAACTGCAGGCTTACAAAGTAAGTTTTGCCAAGGCATGCTCTGGTGCCCTCAAGCTTTTCACATGTTTGTTACTTACACGTAGCCCTTGCCAGGGTGCAGTCAAGCAGTAGTCAATAAGGCTGCACCTATGCAGACTTACATAGGAGAAAGCCTCATTGCATATGGGCATCCATAACATTTTGGTTAGTCCCTCTGCATTGCTCTTAGTCGGATTTAGCCATGCCTAAGTGGCAGGGTTGCATCTTTTAACTTCAGATGGTGCCTCTCATCTTCTGAACTATCTGAACATCTACATCTTACACTGCGGATGGCATGTATGTCACTTGCAGTTCTATATAAAATTTAATTTACCTAAGACATCCCTATGACGTTCTTATAAATCCTAGAGATCAACACACAGATGATGCCCTTCAAACAAGCCAGTATGTCTCCAGGCAGAGACTATGTGGGGAGGGACATTTATACAATTCCCAGGCACTACACTCTAGATTGCCATGGATTTTAGGCTGTATGTTAAATTATCTTTTTAAATTGGTAGCAAACCGAAGGATTTAATATCTCCACACACATTACTCACATGCATCAAGTAACTGTGCTGTAAATAATTGGGGAAATCTGTTTATAGATTGCAGGGTTGGCTTCCATGGAGATTTTTTGAAAAATGTTGAGCAGGTGTTATTTTAGAATGCTTACTAAATACAGTATTTTTGTCTTGAAACATGGGTCTAAACTAGACCCACTGAGTATTTGCAAACTCTACTGAATCTCCTCTGCTGTCCCATACCTCTTAATGTATAGGAACATAGGAAGCTGCCTTATATTAGTGGCAGACCACTGGTCCATGTAGCACAGTTTTGTCTGCACTGACTGCCAGCAGCTCTCCAGGGTTTCAGTCAGGAGGCTCTCCCAGCCCAAACTGGAGGTGCCAGGGATTGAACCTGGGATCGTTTACATGCAAGACAGATACTCTACCACTGAGCTATGGCCCTTCCCAATATACCCTATCTTATTTCACAATGGCCAGTAGGTGTCAGAGCCTTCTCCAGTCCCTATTTGTGCCAGAAAATAAATCATATCAAGAATGGATCATTGGCAGATGGCACTAGGATTGCCATACAACATTTACCACTGGTAAGTGGTATGTTACACCTGCCAGAATTGAGAAGAAGGAAATTTAAGCAGTGCATCCATGTGCCACCTGTCCATTTTAGGTCAGTGCCATTATTTTGATCACTTCCAGGTATGTTATAATCACTTACATATTTATGGGTCACTCTCTAGCCATTCTAGTAATTCTTCGTAATATATCAAGTACTCAACATTCAGCAAATCTGCCAAACATTACTAAGAGACTCAACCATCATTTACAAAGCAAAGCAAATGCACTTGAATAAATGTTGCGAGATGAGTAAAAGTATCCCATTGAAAACAAATACGTGCTTTTTAGTAGGGCTTGACATATCCATTCCTTGTCATTTTTGTATGTCTTCTTCTATCTGTCCGTTCTGCCATGTTTCCACATCATTCTGCAAGTTAAAATAATATTTGCACAAAAATAATACATTTAAATATGTGCTTTTAAAATTTATTTTTTTCTGGGTTGTTTTTTTTTTAAAAAAAACTGAGAACTTCATCAGAACATTTGGGAAGTGGGAATGCTGGTGGATAACTTAAGTTCAGATCAATGCATTAGTCTAGGAAGTTGGGGATCAGGTCGGTTCATATCAGAATTTGCAAAGGATGAATTCCTCAAACATCCCACCTTCTAAGGATCTAAGTCATCCTTGGTATCAGAAATAACACTGTTTGGCCAGCACAGTCATTTAAGAGCTCTTGAATTCACTTGTTTAAACATCACTTTATGCATGTATGTTTATTGCTTGATAACATAACACTCAACCTGTAGAACTGAGTTGGATACAGTCCAACTAATACCCCAAAGGTATGATGCCCATGTTCTCAGCTCTAGCCCAGTTCAGCTTTTAGGCAGCTTTTCTAAATCCTTCCCAGATGTGATATTATTAATCAACAAGTAGGCAAAGAAAACAAAGGAAATTAACAAGCTGTGTAAATGCAAAGAATGCAGAGAGATCTTTTGCTAGGACCAAGCTGCAAATGAAATCTTCAGGCAAATCTGCACTGAAAATTCATATTGTACTTGCATAGTGGCCCATTATGAATTGTGCATGTGCGCTTGGGAGAATTAGCTCCTAGCAATAACTTACAAGTACGAAGCAATAAAAGAAAAAGCCATGATCACATTGGTGTAGGTACATACTGTGTACCAAATTGTGCTTGTGGCAGTTAAACTGTATATAAGCAATAAACCAGTAAGTCATACATTGAAAATTAGCCTCCCTGGCATACAAAGCAATAAGTGGCTTCTGAGTTGGAGCAATGGCTATAGAAAACATGGCAACATTTAATGTCTCTCAGCATCCATCTTGTGCGACCAAGCCATTATCTTTCTTTCCGAATGCATTTTACTTCAAGGTCCAGTTTTCTCACATGCATTGCCTGCAAGGTTGTGGGTGAGAATATTTAACAACGGAAGATAGGACAAGAGCTAGTGCTTAAAAACCTATGAAAAATGTAAAAAGAGATCTGCTGGTTGGCAGGTTGAGGTAGCTGCTGATTTTGCAGAGCTTTAAGATTGGCTTAAGTCCTATCTGCAACTTGCTGGTATTAAAATTCAAGGAAATTATATGTGTTCCTGCAAAACTTATAGATAAGGTAAGAACAAAACTGGCCCACAATAAAAGCATGGAAACACTGTTATGCCACCTCAAAGCTTCTGCCGGCATTTATCCAGGCAGCTTTTATTGATTAGTGGCATCCAAGAAGTCTGATTGTTTGACGTAAGAAATTTCTATGTAGGATAGCATCATGTGTCTTTCTGTCACAGGCTACTAGATGGTTAGTGAAGCAAGAAAGCACTCTTTGCTTTGTACAAGGAGCTTTCCAACTCTTGTTCCATTTTATCTTCACATTGGAAGTGTGAGATAAGTGAGGGTTGGAAGAGAAGTATTTGCCCATGGCCACCAAATTATGGGTTTGAATCTGGGACTTCTGCAGCCAATCTCCAAAGTCTATCTTTTGCAAGGTTCACATTTCAGCCATTGCTTTCCTAGTATTGCCTGGACTGTTTTTCAGAATTCACAGCTGATGTTTCCCTTCAGCACATACTCAACTGTGCATAGCAGCCAATGCTGTTCTCATCTGGCATACAGTGGCACACTTGTTAAAATAATCCTCAAGAATAGCAGTATTGACTTCTTTTACATGGGAGTTCATTGAAGCAGTGCTATTTATGCCTGGAACTGGTTGGTCAGTGGCAGGATGGGAGACCATCTGGAAACCAATCATATACTGCCTTCAGTTGCTGTTGTTAAGAAAGTTAGGCCATAAATGAAATAAATAAAACTAAAGCTGGAAGTCTCCCAGCTGATGCCATGACCAGAGGTCCGTCAGAAGCTGTACAATGTAGCTCCATCTCTGTAACTTAGCAGGTCTGGGTTGGGCTATTGCCTGAAATAGGAATCCATCTGAGAACACTCCCTGCCCTAATTCTCAGTTCCTTGGAGGAAATATAGTATCCAAGGTAATAAACAGTGCAAAATTGCTTCAGTGTGGCTTAATTAGCTGTGTTGCTGCATGGAGGTTTCATCAAGCCCCTCCACTAAGGTCACAGAGAAAATGAGTCTGTTCATTAATGGAAGTGTAGAACAGAAAAAGTTTGGCCACCTCTCTGGCACATATAAAACACTGCCTTAAATCCACCTGTACTTTATTTTCCACATTTTCAGTTCAAAATTAAGGATTCATACAGCCATTATCCAACAAACTGTTGCCCAAGTCAGGTCGCTTCACTAAATTTCAGCACCATCCTAACATCCAACTTCTTTTATTAATTAATCAAGAATAACCCCATATTATTCATTCTCATCAATAAACAACATTATAGAGGAGGTGGAGAGATACCACATTATGTTTATAATAAGCTGCCTTAAATTGTTTATAAGGATAAATAGGTAGTCAAAAACTATGAAGGAGTAGCTAGCTTATGTTGTGACCTTGAGAGTGCATCTGTATTTTTAGCTACAAATAAGGTTGCGGGAGGCAATATACACTTACTCTGCTGTCATGTAGTCACACAAGAATCAGCAAGACTGTCACAGGGTTAGTTCTAGCATTGCTTTGCTTAATGGTGAGATTGGAGCCTGTGTCACTAACACATCATGCACCGTTCATTCAAAGCCATCCCCTGGTTGCCTGTTGATAATAACGCAGATTAGTACTCATCGCGGAAGAACACCATTATTTAACCCCTGATCATGAGTCTCAACATTTGGGTAAAGGGTGTTTAAATGGCAATTGATTAGTATTGAGAATGTGCCCAAAAAGTAGAGAAAGTGAGAAAATGCTAACCAAAGTTCCAGGCAATCACTGGTATGATCTGTGTCAAGAAACCTACAGCTATCAGTGATCCAAAAGTTTGTCAGGATTCTCCTAGGACATTGGTCTTGAAAAAATAGGTCATCGTGGAGATTTGAAATCTGTTGTTGTTGAGAATGAAGATGATGATGCTATTTATTAAATTTGTATTGTGCCCTTCATTCGAAGATCACAGGGCAGTTCACAACATAAAAATACATTTGTATTGTGCCCTTCATTCGAAGATCACAGGGCAGTTCACAACATAAAAATACATAACGATAACATAAAATTTAAAGTAGCTAGGTGTCCCAGAGAGCAAAAATAAAGCTCAAAAATCACATTTGATACCAGTGTGTATCAACTCTTCAGACACAAATGACATAAGAGATAGAATTGCAGCAGAGCATGTTGAATACATTTTGCTCACATTCTAGCTATGGGTAATAGAAAAGATTCCTGATAGATCAAAGTCAGCTACATACAATACATGTGGAAAACTCCTCCTGCTTGCTACTATTGTCACTTGCCCATCTCTTGCCTCTTGACCACTTCAGTGCCCTTGATAGCCCTTGACAGCCATGGAGCAGCAACCCAAGGGTGGATGGTAGCCTTCAGCATCCCAGAAAAACAACCAGACGATGTTGTTTTTCATCAGGGTCTGTTCAGAGGTGCCACCTACTGTTGCCCTGAGCATAATCTGCACACATTACAGCTCACCAATTCACGTTAACGCCCCCAGCCAATGGGGCAGTGTGCCATTATCTGTAATTTGGAGCTGAGCACCCACTTGCCTTTGGGAAGAAAAAAAATGATTTCAGCTGAGAGTGACCAACTTGGATGACTTTAAAAGAGAACCAGACAAATTCACGGATAAAGCTATCAGTGACTGCTAGATACAACTCTGTGCTCTTCTTCCACTGCTGGAGGTGATATGCCTCTGAATACTATTTGATGGGAATCAACTTGTGGGGAGAGTGCTGTTGCATTCAAGTCCTGTTTGTCGGAGCTGAATGCAAAGGCCTCTTGTTGGCCACTGTGAAAACAGGATGGATTTGGTGGGCCTTTGTCCTGATCAAGCAGGGCTGCTCTTATGTTCTGAGACAAGGGGCAGGGCAAAAGCCTCGGTAAATTATTCACCATCTCAACTCTGCAAGATGCAGATAAAAATCAACTGTTACACAGCACTTTGGCCTAGCTCTAGAAGATGTCGTTTGAAAACCGATGTTCTTTGTATAGGCAACTGGGACTGTCACGACACCAAATAGCATTTATTTATGTATTTATTTCAAAGCAAGCGCAACTTGAACCTAAAATAAGTAATTTGTGCTTCAGCTGCAGCAGTTCTATGTCAAATAAGATTTGGCTAAAATGATGACAGTAAATGGTGCTTTTGATATTAATGGCCAACAGAAGGCTTTCGAGTTATACTGCTCAACATTTAGTAATTAAAACACTGATGCTGTATTCTCAAAAAAAGGTGCTTATAATTTCAAGCATGCAGTGTGCCCTCTGGTGGTGTAAGCATATGGCCAAACATTTTAGGCTTCTTAGAAATAAGAGTTATTATGGTAGCCGGGAAAGCAAAATTAAGGTCATGGTCTCAAAGCCAAGGAAGTCCAATTTAACTCAACTGGGTTTATGTCTCAGAAAAAATGCATAGGTACAGGCTGAAGGTAGTTTAACAGCTGGTTTAGGAATCAGAAGCAATCACTTATGCGCCTGGAAAAGCCATGCCTTTATTTGTTTATGAAATTTATTGCCTGCCCTTCACCATAAATTCCCAGGGCAGGTTACAACAATAGAATATATAATTATAAAAACAAATAAAACCATTAAAATGATAAAAGATGTAAAAATAACCCAAATAAAACAGAACGTCCTAAATTCAGCAGAAGAGGTGGGTCCCACAAGTCAAAATACCTTGCCTGTCAAAGGCCAGGGTAAAAAATGCACCTTCAGCATATGCTGAATGCTGTATAGTGAAGATGCCTTGCATACTTCTATAGGGAGAGAGTTCCTCATTTTGGGCTTCCACAGAGAAAGCCCCTTCCCAGGCTGACATTCCCTCTACTTCTGAGGGTGGCAAAACTACCAAGCCTACTCTGCAGATCTTCATGCTCAAGAAGGTTGGTAGGGATGGAGCTGGTAGGGATGGAGATGGTCCTACGTTATGAGGGCTTGAGGGTATTTGGGGTGGGGGCAGGATCTGACACCGTGTGAGATGCTGCAACAAGAGGGGCAAAGGGTGGGCATGCATGGAAGTGTTGTGTTTACTTTATTACATTTAAAGCTCATACGTTCGTTACTGGGGATACCAGCAGTAGTGTTTAGCTGGTTTGTGGATGGCCATCAAATAGTCACCATTTCTGGAAGTGGTGTCTGCTTTGTGATGATTGAGTTAGGATTGCCTCCCCCAAAACAACTGAATTTACATCCAACCAAAGATTTAAATTACCTACTTGAATAGACCAAATCTGGGGCATGATCCATCCACAATGAATTGCATTTAAGTTCCCATTGATCTGTTGGAGAATTAAGCTCACACTTAAACCTTTCTCACTGAAGCCAGTGGGACTTAATCATTCATAATATGGGATAGATAGATGGCCTTGTTACTTGAGTGATGTTGGTATATGAGGTAAATAGTAAACATAATAGCAAAACAGTGGAGAATATTGACTAGGGATTACTGGAAAGCAGTTGTGTTAGAAGAGGAGGAACAAAAACTTAATTACTTCCTTCACTGGTGTGCACCTGAGGCAGCAAAATATCTGAGAAACGTATCTGCCTGAGAGGTAAAAAAGAATAAATTGCTTGGCTTTTATGATATACAGAATCAGCTGCCTCGTTTTGTCTAATGGTAGGGCCGGCCCTATGACTATGCCAACTGAAAACAGCTCTCCAAAGACTTAGGCAGAGGTCTTTCCCAGCCCAGATTTACATGAGATTGAATGGATTGATGTTGGGACCATCAGTATAGAAAGCATGGATTCTATCACTGAGCAATATCCCTTTCCTACAAGATTCACTTGCATTACTTGAGATGAAGCTTTGCTGATGGTTGCCTTTTGGGAGAACAGGGCATTTGCAAAGGGTACCTCTGCAGCTGTTGTTGATTCAGAGCATTCCTTTTGTGTTGTGCTTCCCCCCAAAAAAAACTCCATGCTTTGGAAACAAGAACTGAAATGGAGGGCAACACCAATTAGCAGAGGAAACCAGAAGGGGAGATAAGCTCAAGAGATGCTAGGAAGTATTTGTTTCGGTAGAAAGGCTGTTGGCCAACATGTTTCATGCGATACAATTTTTTTTCAGGAGCAACTTAGTCTGGGAGACATTAGAAAGCAACCATATTTCATGAGTATCAGTTGATCAGTCCCTTAGATGGTGCTTGACCCAAAATAAGTTGGGCCACAGCATTTCTGCTGGTGTCCCACTGTCTTCCATCAGCACGGCGGAAGCGGGCACTTGAAGTCATAGTCATAGGCACATGTCAACACTTGGTTCCTTCATGCTTATTGTGGTTGCGTAGAAAATGTCTATTGTTCACATCAGGAAGCAACCTGAAGCGCCACGAGTGTAGGCATCTCCGTACAAAAATGGCAGAACTGCTGTGCTGGTGGCAGTCATTTTGTCTTTGTTACTAACAGTTAAAAGAAATTTTACAGTACACAAAAAGACACAATTCTCATCATTAGCTTACCACAGCGTTGGTTAACAGCGGCACCAAACATTGGCAGCTTTTTACCACAGGAAACATTGGTAGTCTTTCCCACAGGAAAAAGAGTGAATCAGGAGCCATGGCCCATCTGGGTCACACAAAATGGCCACCCTTATGCTACTGAGGTAAAGAAAAGCTGGGCCTGCAGTCAGCCAAGGGAGACTTTGCTCCTCCAGTTTGCCTGAGAATTGCAGCACCACTTCTAAACGAAAACATCTTTTGAGCTTACCTTGTAATAACTCCTCTGATGTGTGTTGTGACTCCTCATCTGCCTTCTGTAACGAAATCTCTTGCTTCAATGCTGTGTGTGTGCGTGTGCGACGGCCCGTGTGCGTGTCTGTATTACAGCGCAATGTTTTTACTTTGTCTTGGAGAACCTTGTTTGTTGCCATATTAGTAAGCCTAAAGTACACTCTTTATTTTAAATAAATAAATAAAAGGTAAAGCAATATTTACTCTACTCTGCATCTTCTCAGTCAAAGCCTCCATAGCGGTAAGCTATTTCTTATAAATGTTTATAAACAGAATGCCGTTTTCTAATATTCGCTGCACCAAGCAGAGGCGACTTGCTTTTTTCCAAACATTATTAATACGATGACAATAAAGAACAGTGTCAGCGTCTACTTCTTCCACACCCATATTTTCTAACCCTCGACCAGTCTGCCACATTTTATAATATTGCTGACAAAAAAGGGGTTTTTAAAGAGAAAAAGAAAAATTAATCAGCTATTTCATGTGTGATCTTGACACAGTACCTGATTCATAAAAAGGGGGAGGGGGGAATAATTCAGCATCTCAGTTCAATAATTTTATTCGTGCTGTTCAGATTGCTAAAGTCTCTGAAACTTTAAGGACTCAGGGATACGGGCATTTCTTCAACTTGTTCTCCAATTCGTCAGTCATTATTTTTTAGCATCTTCTGTCACTCCCTCTGACTTCTGCTGTGCTCATGTAGACCCTTATAAAATAAAATTTGAGATCCAATCAATGAATTTTTAAAAGAAACGGTGAGTATCTGGATTCAGTCCTCCATGCTTTATTTCCCCTGCCAATCAACTAACCAGTGTGATTATTGCTATATGCATGTGTTTCCATGAGGACACAGCTGAGTTAGAGCCTTTGCACTTTTTTTCATTATTAAAGTTGAAATGTAAATGTCGCTATGGAAAGTATAAGAGCATTTTTTTAAATCTGGAAAACTTATACACAGGTATATGCTGATCTCCAGGCCTTTTCACAGCTCCATCATAATGCTGTTCACTAGATATTTCTAATAGGTCACAAGGCAAAATTTACCAACGTGTATGTGAATTAACAGAGGCCAATAAGAGATGGGGTACAGTACATGGCTAATGTAAATTTACAGCATAAGCAGCTTTCAATGAGGTCAGATTAGCTGTCCTTCTCATGGAATATTTTCTACTACAAGAGGCAGCAACTTTTCCCAAACTCAGAGCAATGTCTTCTCCTACCTGATCTTTGGCACGTAAAAGCGCGCCACTGAAGAGTGTTTGTCTCTCCCTCTAAAATTCTGTTATGTGCTTCTCCACAAAAGAAAGAGGGACTTTTTAAAAAATATAAATATAAATGTAGCATTCTGCTTTCAGAACTGAAGCCTTCTCAATAAGCCCTCTTAAGTGCTTACAATAGTGTGTAGAGTTTAATGGTGTGACTAATCCTACCAAAATTGAGGGGGTTTTTTGCCCAAAAATGGAAAGTTGGTGGGAAATTATCAGTGGCATTCAGTGGCCAAATATGCTTGTCTGATTGGACAGACTTCATGTAGAATAGAAGGCATAGATGTCTTTGGAGTGACTTTGCTGGAGGTCACTTAAGAACGTGGAGATGCCAACATGCTTTAATTATTTGACTGAACGAAATGTCAGAATGGGGTGCTGTTTCCCCTCTTCCATTGATCGTGTCATCTCTTGAGGAAAGTTTTCGAATACCACTTGACGTATGATTGTCATTGTATTTCATTCTTCTTGCCTAAACATAATTTAAATAACATTTTAAGCTAGATGTTATAATCATCCATTGCGTGTGCAGAATGTGATTGGTCACACACACACACACACACACACACATATATATATGGTGTGTGGGGATCCAAAACCAGGCATAAAGCTTTGGATTGGGCCCATGTTTGTAACACTGACTTCCTTTCCTTTCTTTCATGGCAGTGCTGCTTTTTCACAGTGACAGGTTTGTAAAGAAATAAAATAAAAGCCCTGTGACACACAGTTGTAAAAAGCTCCATTGATCCCTTTTGCACTCGTAGGGCATCAACCACTCAAATTTAAACGGAGCACAGTTCTGTGTTAACTTAGAAGTAAGCCCTAGTAAGTTCAGTGGTGTGGCTACCCCTTTAAGAGTGCTCAGGACTGCAGCCTTAATCCCCGCTTGTTCCAATGAGCAAAATTTTAAGGACATGCTTAATTCTTCCATTAGTATCAGTGGCAGCCAAAAGGCTTTTTAACTTTAGCTGCATTGCACCCACAGAGTTCAGCGTGAGGGAGAACTGCTTCACTGACTTTACCAGGGGGAAAAGCACCTTATGGGAATTCCTATAGGAGTGAATGGGGTGGCTGCTTCTCAAACAGAGCTCCACATATGCAGGAGATTCTGCAACTCTGCCGTGGAGCTTCTAGGTCATGTGGGTTTTAGTTCAATTCTGAAACGTCCATTTCTGGTGGAATGGAGAACCCAGTTTTTTAAAAAAGTCTCTAGTAGGTATTTTAGCAACATAAATAATCCTTATGTTCCTGCTCCATTAAATTTTATACATGTTCATATACTATATATAAGTATATATAAATATATATATATAATATACATATACATATGCATATATTTTATGAATCAGGTCTGTGATTTTTACTATTCTGAGCAATTTGATGCATTTTCATAAGGTCATTATCTCTTATTTAGTTTGCAGTGTAAATAATAGTGTACATCTGCTATTTTATTATACCACTATGCCATGGGCAATTTTTTGTTTGTTTGGAAACTGTACTAGATATATCAAATAGCAATTGCAATGCCATCATTCCACATTGCTTCCATATACAAAAGTATCTGTGAGGCGTGTGTTTTTCAACGGCTAATATAATCTGCAGCGTCAGAAATATTTGATTTACATTTCCCTCCCAGCTGAACCCACCTCTCAAAGTATGTACAGTTCCCAACAATGTTTTCTCTTTGGTCATTTCCACTTGGTTCGCATCCCATGTATTTCCTGTCATGGGTGAAACATGAGGTATAATGTCAATAGCCATTTCAGATTGGAATTAATCTATATCAGTCTGTATGCATTTATAGTGCTGAGGAACAACACGGCAAACACTGCTGCTGTGCTCTTTCCATTTTCTCGCTGGGGCTTGTGAGGTGAATAGCAATAGATGATTGGTCGGGTCCAGGATGAGAGACCCATGTGCAAAAGCGGCTTCCCCACACATGCCCATATACCCCTCACGATTGGGTGTGGCACATTCAAAAGGTGCTTTGTGAGGTTTTAAGGAAAAAATCCTACACCTGAGCTTCTGTGCATCATCCCTCTGTTTACACTCCTTAACTCACATCCACCCAATACATGCCCTTCACTTCCACCAGAGGAAGTTCACAACCTCATGTTAGGCATGGCACATTAAGGCCTCTCAAAATGGCATCTCCACCCCAAGTAGATCCATCTACCTTTTTTCACAATGCCATCATGTTTTGTATATCTCAGGCCCAACTCAAGAAATTGGACAGTGTGATGATGCCACCAGATGGGGGAAATGGGCCCCTGTCAAATTCCATTCCTGTTTGTCCCCTCTTCCAACATGGCTGGAGAGAGAGAGAGAGAGAGAAGAGCTTCAAAGATTGCTCTAAGCATTGATCTCCCATCCTGTTTGGTCTTAAAAGTGACAGTTGACTAGCTGAGATTTGGGAGAATCGATTCCCCATATTATCAAAGCTCTCAGCACTGACTATTGGTCTGACAGGGAGATACTCACATCTCTGGAGTAGATGGAGGAAGCGCAATAGCAGTGCTTGTTGGTTTGTCCCCTCGGTCAAAACATGAAATGTATCTTCCATGCTTTTCACACAGCAAAAGCCTTTTAAACACTTTTGTATATTTTTGTGTGTGTCATACGCGGTGTAAATAGCATGTTTCATTATGCAAAAATTTCTAGGTCATCAACTTCAGAACAAGATGAATTTGTATATGAGGAAAATCGAAACATCGACAGTAAATCCGGATGATTAAAACAAAATATAAAGTGGTTATGACTGTTGTGTGTTCTATTTATACTGTTCATATCCCGGTTTTATGTTTTAAAGGAGGAAAAAAATACATTTTCTTTACCCTTGAGTGTATGATCAATTATTTAAACTATATTTACATCAATAAATCTTATGCCAAACCTATTAAATGTTGTCAGGCTGTTTGCTTTGTGGGCATGATGACAAATATCCTGGTTTTTAAAAAAAGCGTGTGGTGTGTGTGTGTGCCATTTTTAAATCTGTATTCCTATTCCACTAAATTAAAAAGCAGGTTTAAACGAGCAAACATAGAGATGAATTGTGAAATCCAACACAGTAAGAAAGATTGTAATAATATGCACAGAGCCTCTGCACAGAGAGGAAATGTGTTGAGCTTGTGTGGACATCCTCACACACATGTGAAGCACTCACACACATGTGATCCTCATACACATATGAACAACATCCTCACACACATGTGAAGCACATGAGAGCCAGTGTGGTGTAGTGGTTAAGTGCAGTAGACTCGTAATCTGGTGAACCGGGTTTGCTTCCCCACTCCTCCACATTCACCTTGGGCTAGTCACACTTCTCTGAAGTCTCTCAGCCCTACTCACCTCACAGAGTGTTTGTTGTGGTGGAGGAAGGGAAAGGAGATTGTTAGCCGCTTTGAGACTCCTTAGGGTAGTGATAAAGCAGGATATCAAATCCAAACTCTTCTTCTTCTTCTACACCTCAAGAATGAAAAAAAGGAAACCCTTGTATGCCCAGTAATAAAATATTGAAACCACATACTCCATTATTAGTAGTATGTTGGGTCAGGTCGCTTACAATTCTGCTATAACAATTGGCACTCACAAAATACTTCTCACCACTTCTGTTCATGAAATCTTAAGAAATAAATGTTTGGCACTACAGTGGGGCTCTGGTTGCGAACGGGATCCGTTTTGGAGGCCTGTTTGCAATATGAAAAGAGCGCAACCCGCAGTGGCGCGTCTGCGCACACGCGGGTTGCAATTCACCACTTCTGCACATGTGTGTGATGTCATTTTGTGCTTCTGCGCATGCGCAAGCGGCGAAACCCGGAAGTAACCCTTTCCGGTACTTCCAGGTCACCACGGGACGTAACCTGAAAGAACGTAACATGAAGCAGACGTAACATGAGGTATGACTGTACTTTAAAATAAACTGAATGAAGGTACTGCGAGGCAATTTCCATGCCCCACAACATCCCACTGATCGAAAGCAGGACCCTCGTTTTTTAGTCCAGCACAAGGAGAAGCTCCTGACCAGGGCTACTTGTGAGTAAATTGCTCAACCAAAAATCAGCCCAAATGGACTGTAACCAGGTAATGATGGGGCCTCTTCCCACTGGCTTATATGATGCTTTTTCTATTTTATGCAACTTACTGTATTTTAGATTCTTTTTGCTCTTGTTCTTAGATCCGTTTTTAGTATTATAAGCCACTTCGAGTTAATTTTTTCTTAAAAGTGGCTAATAAATCTAAGAATAATAATATGCCTCATAGGGGTCACTGGAACAGGAGAACCTGAGGAAGGCAGAGGTTACCCCTTGAGGGAGGATAAAGGAAACTGGAGGGGAGGACCCCATGTTGAGCAGGGCTTCTCTGGTCTGCGACTGGTGCTCATGAGAGAAGTGACAGGGAGCTGCCCGATGCTCTGAGGGCTACTGGAGAACATATCAGAAAAAAATCACATTCACATTAAGACATGGATGGGGCACCTGGTGTATTCCAGATGTCACTGTACTCCAGGTCCCATCATCCTGTGTTCAAGGATAAGGGATCATGGGATCTGAAGTCTAGCAACATCTCAAGGGCCAGAGGTTTCCCCTCACTGCACTAAGACATGAATTCAGACTCCCATGATAAGTGGGCCTGATGTTCGCACTCAATCCCAGAACCATCATAAAGCCTCCCCAGTTATCAGTTTCTGAACAGTACCATCTGTGGTTGCCATTCAGCTAAAATGCGGCTTTCAAGATTTTGGGTTGTGTTCAATGTTAATTCTATACAGAGTAGATCCCTCAAAAGTTCATGGACTTCGCTAACTTGAGTCCATTCATTTCAGTGGGTGTAACTTGGTTAGATACAACCCTATGAAACTCAAGCTGCATTTACATTTTCCCCTTAAGTGCTGATGTGATGATTACCAGCCTGTCCTTCAGTTAGTTAAAGACCTAACATAATACTCCTGCAGTCCTGGGAAGGCAGAGAATCAATTTATTTTCCCAAATTTCAGTAAAAGGTGAGTGCTTATCAGTTTGAGCAGATGGGTGCTTGGATAGTGCCTTTTTAAGGACAAAAATGTGAAGCTACTCAATGCTGCAGCAGTGGCCGGCTGTTTCAAGACTAGGGATGTAAGCAGACATGGTTTTCCTTTCTGCCCTGCATTTGTCCCAGGCAGCACTGTTTCAGTTCCGTGAAAAAGTGTAAGTTACCATTGCCACTATGTTGTTCCACCCGATTCATAACAATGAGAAGGAAATGCAGTGCAAATGTAGAAGGGAATGTAATCAGTGATGCATCACTTGCTGGCTGAAAGTAACAACAACAATTGTATTCAATGGATTGATTTCCATTCCGGACATGGGACAATTCAAGTCAATATAAGCCAAGCTGGTATTAGAAGACTCCCTGGAAAAGACCCTGATGTTGGGAAAGATTGAGGGCACAAGGAGAAGGGGATGACAGAGGACAAGATGGTTGGACAGTGTTCTCAAAACTACCAGCATGGGTTTGACCAAACTGCGGGAGGCAGTGGAAGACAGGAGTGCCTGGCATGCTCTGGTCCATGGGGTCATGAAGAGTCAGACATGACTAAATGACTAAACAACAACAAAATGATTCATATAATACCAAGGATCTGGCCCATTGCAAATGCTTCCCTGGCAGATGTCCACTATCCCCAGATTTTCCTAAAGCTGGTTGCTGGTTCCCCACTCCACCTTCTCTTGGTCCAAATCTTGTCTGTCCCAATTAAATCAGGACATCCCGTTTTCTGGGGCCAAGCTCTTGTGTGAGAGCAAAGAGCCCCAAAACGCATGAGACCATGGCCCTGAAAGATGCTCGGTTTGGGGCACCGTGCTCTCATGCAGGTCATGTGACCCATGCACTTCCTAGAAGATGGTTGTCATGGTTTCCTGTTGCAACATGGTGGAGGGTATGATATATAATGGCCCAAAGAGCGGACCTATGACTTCCATTCCCCTTCATCTGCTATATATATTAAATTCAATTTTTAGAAACTAAAGAATCAACTAACAAGTTTATCAGTATTTAAATATAACCTACAGCTCTGTAAATAAAGGATGCATTTTAAATGGAATAATTATCTTCCATTCCATTGCTTATAATGCAACAATAACTAATCCTCATTTTGAAGATTCTGTCAGTTTTAATCCAATCAAGATTCTCTAAAAAAATACACTATTCTTATAATTATTTAAAAAGTTATTTGAACAGTCCATCTCACTCCTCGTTTCTCACTGTTTTTAAAAGCCAAAATGTTAGCTTTGCCAATTTAATCATTTTCCAGCACCTAATTTCCAATTTATTTCTCTGGAGGCTTCTTCTAGTTCAGCCTGATTAAAATGTTAACTGCCATTAATATATTTATTATTCTTCCACCTTCAATCCAGTATCTTAAAAAACACACACACTAAGAGATATAATAAAAATATCCATAGGCCTTCATCAAGCCCCAGAACCTTACCAATAAGCAGAGGTCCCAGCTTCAAAAATCTCTCAAAACTGTATTTTCCTAGTGTTCCAAGTCTTTGCTGAGAAACTAGACTCCAGGAGAAGCTACACTTCACAAGGATGTGAAGCAGACTTTATCCAAGCCCAGGGTCCCAAGGCTGCTCTGGACTACTCAGTGCTGGCCGAGGCTGATGAGAGTTGCAGTCCAAAAACATTGGAGGGCACCAGGTTGGGAAAGGATGATGTAAAGTGGTGAGGCAGGAGGCAACTTGGAACATCCCAAACATTGTTTAGCAAGCTCAAGCAATAGAAATCACCCAATTTACTTAAGTTGAAAGAGAGCGCCACCTGAATCACTTCTTAATACGATCTTGTGGTTAATGAGCAGTTCATCTGGCAATATATTCCCCACAGCAGATAAAAACAACAGCTGATACTGGAAAGGTATCAAGTCACGGAGAGCAAATAACTCCAGTGTTCGTGACAGCATTGTTAGACCATGCAGACACATCTGTCTAGGATTAAGGGATTTCCTATAATATCGGGAGGAATTTATGTGACATCTTTTGGGTGCAAAGATATTTCTTGACTAACACAGTTTTTTAAATAAAAAAACCCTAACCCAAATACATTTCAGGTGATTTAAGCAAGGGTGATCAAGGGCGACTGACTGAAGGCAACTGGATTTGCACCCATCTGAAAATTATTGCACAGTACTTTTATCTGTTAAGCATTTTTGTGCAGAATTAATAGACAATTACAGGGATGCGGGTGGCGCTGCGGGTTAAACCACAGAGCCTAGGACTTGCCAATCAGAAGGTCGGCGGTTCGAATCCCCGCGACTGGGTGAGCTCCCATTGCTCGGTCCCTGCTCCTGCCAACCTAACAGTTTGACAGCACGTCAAAGTGCAAGTAGTACAAAGTGCAAGTAGATAAATAGGTACTGCTCCGGCAGGAATGTAAACAGTGTTTCCATGCGGTGCTCTGCTTCGCCAGAAGCGGCTTAGTCATGCTGGCCACATGACCCGGAAGCTGTATTGGCTCCTTCGGCCAATAAAGCGAGATGAGCGCCGCAACCCCAGAGTCGGCCACGACTGGACCTAATGGTCAGGGGTCCCTTTACCTTTACCTAATAGAAAATTACAGAAAGGCAATCCAGTAATTTCAAATATAATTATGCCTGCTAGGGATATTAATCTAATTGAAGAGGAGGAGGAGGAGGAGGAGGAGGAGGAGGAGGAGGAAGAAGAAGAAGAAGAAGAAGAAGAAGAAGAAGAAGAAGAAGAAGAAGAAGAAGAAGAAGAAGGGTTGTTGTTTGGGTCCATATTGTGAAATATAGTTCTTTACTGCAATGGGAGGTTAGTACACAGATCTATTTCAAAATCATTTCTTCTTTCCTGCAAATAGAGAGCTAGATGGAACATAAGACAGACTGTGAGTGATTTTTCTTTAACATTGTTTTTATATAAGATTGTGCTACTTTCCTCAACCACTGTTCAGATACAAGGCCACCTATAAAATATGTCTTCCAACCAAGTAGGTAAGGGGTTGCAAAGTTGTGATGAAGGAGAATCTGATCATTGATTAAAATGGTGCAAAATGTGACCAGGGTGGGGTGGAGACAGAAAGAATGGACTTAAGGCCATTGAAAATGTGGCTTACTTTATGGATGTTCCCAGTGCAAACCTCCCATTTTCTTAGCTAATTACCTACTTAAAGCCAGCAAGGATTCCTTCAGTTTCTGACTGATGGCCATAGATTTCCAATAAAGCGCTGCTGCAACTCTGTGAGAAGCCTACCATGTTGCTTCAACAGCAGTCAAGCTCTATTAGGGTCACTGTCATATCTGGGAGAAAGGTGCTGAAGGTCATGCTGTCTTCTTCTAGGATCAACATTTCAGCTAATTATCCTAATTCCAGAAGAGTCCTCTCCAGGAAGCCATTAAGGCCTGGGGTTTGCAAATCTAATGAAACATGACAATGTGCTGGCTTCCGCACCATTGAGACAAATGGTCGAGGAAGTCACAATGTCTTTCTCACGGCTTCCTGACCTGTGTGCACTGTGGGTCTCCTAGCCATGGCCCGTCCTAGTTATTCCAGTAAGCCTGGAAACAAGCCTCTATTGCAAAGTAGGGCTGCAAACTTGAACCAGTTTAATAGGTAAGAGCATCTGCTGTAGAGATGGACAACCTGTGGCCCTCCAGATGCTGTTGGACTAGGAAGCTGCCTTATACTGAGTGAGACCAGTGGTCCATCTAGCTCAGTATTGTCTAAATTTCAGCTCTCCCTGAGATGCCAGTGTAGTGTCAGAAAACGCTTCTTCTGTATCATCTACCTGATAACCTGTTGTCATTGGTGTGTCTACAGGGTTAGCATCCATCAGGTTTAGTTTGGTTAACACATCAGCAATTTTCTGTGACTGGTGTACTAAAATATTACCATCTTGGTCTCTTTCTATTTCCAGAGATAGGTAGTTGGTTACCTCACCAAGAGGTAACCAGCTGTCGGACTTGCGTTCGACCAATGGCACTGAGCTATACCTGTTCATCATTTTCCATCACCCTTGAAAACTGGCTACAGCTGATGGGATTTGGAGGCCAACATGATCTGAAGAGTCACAGGTTCCTCACCTATGGTCTACTTAAATGTTACTTGGACAGTTATAGAAAACACATTTTATTTTAGTATTAAAAGTGCCCTTGTATGTTTTTGAAGGTTATTTTAGTTCTGCCATTGTTGCAGAATATTAACAATGGCCTCCTAACTTGTGGCAGCGTTTGTTTATTGAGTCGCAAATCAACTTGCACTACTTGCAATTCCTCACCTTTGCAACTATTGATTTTTCTTTGGTTTTCGTCCATTCCCCTTGATGGTGCTGCTTTTTCAAATTATTGGCTTGCCACTTTTATCGGGTTGTGTTCAGCTAAGTTACAGAGCAGACTGATTGAAATTAATAGACCAACGTTAGTCATGGCCATTAATTTCAATGGGTCTACACTGAGTTAGACCTAAATGCTCCTGAGCCCAATACAAAGCTCCCAATGTCTTCCTACCCATTAGGCAAAATGAGCCAATTGCCTTGGGCAGCAGGGGCAAATGACTAGTTTCGTGGTGTTCTGTTCTGGTGGTCAGGCTGCATTTGGTATGTGTGTGTCCAGTTGTGAGCCCAACATTTTAAGACAGGTTTTGGCAAGCTGGACCATGTCCTGAGCAGGGTGAGCAGTAGGATGGCCATCTGTTAGGGATGTTGCATCTCCTGAATTGAGCAGTGGGTTGAACTCAACGATCTCTAAGACCCTTTCCAAATATGTTTCCATGATGACACCTGTTTTTAAGGGCTGCTGCATTATCGCCAGTCTCTGCACTTACCTCCTCTGTTCTGTTCGGTTGGGAGAATTGTTTCTGTAAGATATTGTTTATTTTAGCGCGGTTCACCCTTGGCGTGTTTGTTGGGATTGTAAAATGTAATCATCCATTTCCATTCAGTGAATTGGAAATACCACGGAACAGGCTAGTCACTGTGGAGGCATTACTATTGATTCCTGTCATTTCTGTTTACAGAGGCTGACCGGAGGCGACAACACACCTCCATGGAGAGCCCCTCACTCCTGTAAATAATATCTCATCTTTCCCAGGCTTCTGGCAAAATGTGCCTACTCCTTCCTTGGGCTTGTAGCAATGGAAATGGCTGTTATTGACAACAGCACTTTTGACGTGTGAGGCTGTTTTCTTTATTCTCTTCAGAATACCTCTGTGAGAAAGGTAATTATAAATTGCATTTTTCAGGGAGAGAATGGGAACTATATGCCTCAGTTTACAGACAGGATGAGGTTCAGGCTGCGTATACAAAACAGCAATCATGTGACTTCCCCCAAAGAATCCTGGGAACTGTAGTTCCTTTTGGAATTTCAGCTGTAAATAAAATATGTTGTATTTTCACAAACTTCCGTGTAGTAAAAGCACTAGTATTTCTGACCCGATCCATTTAGAGCCAACAAAAATGATATGCCGAGAGAGCAGGTAAGTGAACAGGAGAAAACAGGGACCCAATTAGCAGAAGTTTGAAATTAAAATGTGAGGGTTTCATTGTGATCAAAATGTTGTGGTTTCATTGTGCCTTTAAGTTAAAACAAAAGGGCAGTGTAAACAGACTGAGGAAGAAGTAACAGTCAGCCAGGGCTCGCATGGAACGATGCACAACAGGTCCGCGAGGATTGATTTCTATAATAGAATCACAAGAGAATGGAGAGAGAATGTAGTTGGTATAGAATTTCTGGGCATGAAGGGGGCATTAATAAAAGGCTTTTTGTGAAATCTTAAATGAAAAAGCAGGTTGGAATAATGGCTCTAGGGGGTTGAAACACATCAGAAGCGTACGCTGACAGTGATGAAAAACAGACATGAGATGAATACACCCAGTAAAACACTGAGGTTGATTTGCAGTCTCCTGGCAAAATAGCGAACCAGACGCAGCACAATTATTCTTAGTCTATGGATCATTGGTGGTCTACAGAGCAATTTGGCCTGGAATAATGGTGTCTTGTTTGACAAATGTCTCAGTCACTCACTTGCAAGCCTGTGCTGTCTCCTTCCAGAGGAAGCTGTTCCTTTTTCCTTTCCTACTGCTTGTTTGGGAGAACCACACTGGAGAGCAGGAGCTCAGTTTTCATTTGGAGGCTTTTCAAACTGTATCTTCTAGTCAAGCTTTCCTTTCTTGCCTGGTAGAGGTGTAGCAAAATGTAATAGTAAGGGTAAAGTAAAGGTAAAGGGACCCCTGACCATTAGGTCCAGTCGTGACCGACTCTGGGGTTGCGGCGCTCATCTTGCTTTATTGGCCGAGGGAGCCGGCGTACAGCTTCCAGGTCATGTGGCCAGCATGACTAAGCCGCTTCTGGTGAACGTTTACCTTCCCGCTGGAACGGTACCTATTTATCTACTTGCACTTTGACGTGCTTTTGAACTGTTAGGTTGGCAGGAGCAGGGACTGAGCAACAGGAGCTCACCCCGTTGTGGGGATTTGAACCGCCAACCTTCTGATTGGCAAGTCCTAGGCTCTGTGGTTTAACCCACAGCGTTAGTAAGGGTACAGATATGGCAAAGTAGACTATACTAAGCTCCCCCAAACGTGGTGCCCTCTAGATGTTTTGGATGGCAAACCTCCCTCATCCCTGACTGTTGACCATGTTGGATGGGACTGCTGAGAGCCCAACAACATCCGCAGGGCACCAGGTTGGGAGGGGGGGTTATACCACTTCAGGCTGCAGTGGGGAGATATGCCATTTTTTGAATGTGCCCCCACTTGGAAAACAACATTTCTCTGCGAGTTCTAGGAGACTGGAGAAGGGGAGCTGGTTGCAGCAGGAGGGAGAGACCCTCTGGATTCTTCAGCAGCCTGTCTCCACTCTGCCTCTTGGTCACCCTCCCTTCCAGCCTCAGAGTCAGAATCTGAAACCCTGTCATCTCTCCTGCTGCTGACACCTCCTCAAGCCAGTCTGCTCCTTCTTCTCCCTCTGACCATTCGTTGTTGTCCCACCACCAATCCCCTGGCTTGGAGCTTTCTGTCATGGGACAAAGGTTCTTGAGAGCAGAAGTAGCAGTAAGGCCTACAAGCCCTACGCAATCATTCAAGCCTAAGCCTGCTAACTGCTAAACTGTTAACAGCAAACTGCTAAGTCACTGTGACTTGTGACTCATCTTGGGTGATGACTCATTCTCCCTATAAAGAGTAGCCTCAGTGAGAGAGCTGTACGGATTTTGTGTGCAGTAGCCTGTTGAATACAGTGGTACCTCTGGTTGAGAACGGGATCCGTTCCGGAGGGCCGCTCGCAACATGAAAAGAGCGCAACCCGCAGCGGTGCGTCTGCGCACGCGTGGGTTGCGATTCGCCACTTCTGCGCATGTGCGTGATGTCATTTTGCGCTTCTGCACATGTGCGAGCGGCGAAACCCAGAAGTAACCCTTTCTGGTACTTCCGGGTCACCATGGGACATAACCTGAAAGAACGTAACATGAAGCGGACGTAACATGAGGTATAATTGTAGTGCTATTGTTGTTGATGTAAAGCTAAGGCAGACAGAGTGGCTCCAGCACTCTAGTAAATCAGTAACTAAGACTATGCCACTGTGAAGAGTCAGATAGCTGCTATGAGCACTCTGTGTATGTTCTTTAACTATGTTGTTTACCCCCCCATCCAACCAGTCCATGACTGACCCCTGGGGCCCTCAGCTAGTTTTGCCAACCTCTGGCACCAGGCCTGATAATCATCAAGTGATGAGCATATATGTATGAGTGAGCTACCCCAACTTGGAAATCAATACCCATTTCTTTCTTCCTATTATTTTTTTTATACCTCCTAGTTCTACGATCCTCTGCCAAGGGACCAGGAGTTGGCTGTACAAAGCAGTTGCACACTCAAGCCATCCCTGGATGTCTCATTTAATTTCATCTCTATAAAACGGAGCGGCAACGGAGATATCAGTGACAGCCTTGTTACCATGCTGCTTCCAGTCACATCAAATTGGGATCAGAGATAATAAACACAGCCGCTTCTGCTGTTATCAGGCTACCCTTCTTGCCACCTACAATGTTGTGGCCTCATCAGATTCCAAGAGCGCCATGCCCCTGTTTCAAATGACTGGCTAGGTGAAATTTGCTGTTCTTTTACATGAAAGGAAAGGGATGTCACCAAAGGGGAAGGATGGGGACAAACGAAAAAGAGACAGTCCCACCTCCAAAATAGGAAGGGACAACCGTTGCCTCCCAGCTACACAGAAGGGCACTAGGACTTCCTTTGTGGGTTTCTTTTTCTTTTTCTCTGAAGATCTGCAACTTCTCTATGTGACAGGGCATATTTTCATTTCTACTGTTGACATACATTCCATAATGCATATTGATAGAGTGATGGATAGGCTGCCAGTTACTCCCAAAGGAACCCATGGTAGCATGTTGGTGTTATATGCCGTGGGTATCTTCTTACCAAACTCGCTGGGATTGGAAAATTGCATAAAGCTTTATGGGAGAGCTTAGTCGGTACAGCATGGAACTCTTAATCTCAGGGTTGTGAGTTCAAGCCCCACATTGGGCAAAAGATTCTTGCATTGCAGAGGGTTGATCTAGAAGACCCTCACGGTCCCTTCCATCTGTACAATTCTACGATTCTATGACCTCGGGCTCATCCACTGCACTTCCTGCTTTACCGCTGAATCGGAACAAACAGCAATACATAGTAAACACAATTGCCATTTGCTCCAATCCAGCAGTAAAATGTGGGTTTTCCTGGGGGAAGCAAAGCAAAGTTTTCCTGGGGACAAAGCAAAACAAAAAAACAAATGTTCGGACATGGAGCTTTAAAGCCCAGTCCTGGATGGATGGGCCCTTACAGTGTGGTTTATTTGTTTACTTATTTATTTCATTCATTTCAAGTTCATATTCAATGTTTCCTCCAAGGACAAGGACACTACAACTAGAAGTGAAGACCACAACAGAGAAAGCTGTGTGGTCATATGAAACCTGGTTTTCCAAGTTTCAGTGACATGGATGTGTGCTGAGTTTCAACAGGGCTTTCGCCTGTTGATCTTAAACTGATAATTTGTCTGGAAATGTTTTGGTTTGTCAGAAGTGCGTGCAGGAGCCAGGTCCTGTGAGCAGTAGGAGTTTGCAAGACTGGGGCCTTCCTAAGTTTGTTCTGAGGAGGCAAGGCGCAGCCGCACAAGTGAGGCCGATTGGTAACTCACAGCACCTGGTGGCAAGAGCCAGGAAGGGATATAAGGTCAGCATTTCCCTTCGGCTCTTTGCCACGGCAACACGTTTCCTGCCTTGCTGCGTTTGACTCCTTGCTTCTTGATCCTCGGACCCTTGACTTCGTGACTCCTTGCTTCCTGACCCTCAGACTCTTGGCTTCCTGACTTCTGGCTTCTGGACTCTCGTTCCTGCTTCCACCCTGCCATCTTGCCCCCAGTCCCGACGTCCTCAGCCAGGACTTTGACTTTGACTGTGACACGGTTCATGCACAAGTTATCAAGAGAAAGAAAGAGAGGGAGGGAGGGAGGAACAAATCCTGCAGAGACAAAAGGAGGGTAGGAGCAGAAATATAGTCTTGGGAAGAAAAACAAATGTCTCTGAAATAAGGAAGGAAGCTTTTTCAGCTTTGAGTTGGCTTTGCTCACCTGCGTGAAAACCATCTAATTATGAAGTGGTGACTGAAACTTATAAAGAAGCTTAGGAAGCAATCAGCTAGAGGTACTCTAATATTTCCAGGTCATAGGTATGAGCAAAGTACATCTCAGATGCTTTGACCTTCAATGACTAATGAAAACCTTTTAGTGTGGAAGGTTTTTTGAGATGTTGGGTTGATATACTGAGGGTTCCTCTTGCCATGCTCTGCTGTGATTTCAGAGTTTTGATTCTATTATTTTATATCAGTTCTTTAAAACAAATTTTAATTGCTTTTATTAAATAAGATTGTGGGCCATCCAGAGGGCCCGGCTAGGCCAAAAGGGAGACTATAAATTAATACAATCAACCAGTGCATGACTCTTCCTGAACACATAAATTATGTGGCTGGGTTTTTAATTTCAACATTGAAGAAGGGATATCTGCCTTGGCTTCTAAATGGGAAGGATCTTTTAATTATGATGTTCACAGATACCAGTGTGGCATCTGCTGCTATGCAGAAACAGATGATCAAAATGATGATGATAATGACATATTTATTTATAGCCCGCCTTTTCCCCCTGACGGGACTCAAGGAGGCTTACAGATAAAAATAAGAACTGCAAAAAAAAACCATAAGAAAAAAAGTTTTAAAAAGTAATCACTGATAAAATTAAAAGTAAGTGCATATATAAAGTCCATTAAAACCATACCAATAACTACAATAAAAAATAGCATGGCACCAGCCCTTTAAGTAAAAGCCATCAATTCCTAAAGGTCTGTTGGAACAAGAAAGTCTTCACATGCTGGCAGAAGGACAACAAGGAGGGAGCCAGTCTAGCTTTTCTAGGGTGGGAGTTTCAAAGTCTGGGAGCAGCCACTGAGAAGGCCCTTGAGATTATGGGTTGAAACACATTCCTTATGTATTTTGGGCATTTTAAAATTTATTTAAAGGATGACTTTTAGTCATGATGGTGGTACAGATCCTTTGAAGGGACACGGGTGGTGCTGTGGTCTAAACCACTGAGCCTCTTGGGCTTGCCAATCAGAAGGTTGGCGGTTCAAATCCCTGCAACAGGGTGAGCTCCTGTTGTTCTGTCCCAGCTCCTGCCAACCTAGCAGTTTGAAAGCACGCCAGTGCAAGTAGATAAATAGGTACCATTGTGGTGGGAAGGTAAACGGCATTTCCGTGCGCTCTGGCACTCATCACAGTCCTCCGTGTGCCAGAAGCAGTTTAGTCATGCTGGCCACATGACCCGGAAAACTGTCTGTGGACAAACACCAGCTCCTTTGGCCTGTAAGCGAGATCAGCGCCGCACCCCATAGTTACCTTTGACTGGATTTAACTGTCCAGGAGTCCTTTACCCTTTACACGTTTTTACAGATCCTCCATGTTAAAAGGCACCTGCTGCTGAGTGGGTTTGGGGTAGATGAACAGCTGGAGGATTAATGCCTTCATGTCCTGCCTGTGAACTTACTAGAAACATCTGCCTGGCAGTGTGGAATTTCTGTAAAAGTCATTATCAGCAAGACCAGTGTTAGGTGCACAGGAGTGTGGCCTGACCACAAAACTGGTAAGGGCCACTAAATGGGGAACCTAAGAACTGATAAAGTTAGAGTGAAAAGCAACTCCACATAAGGTACAAGGAGGGCTCTGACAGCTACAGTGGAAATGGGTTGAGCAAGTTGCATTTCAAGGATTGTGGTGGGATGAAGAGATAGTCAGGTGATGTCAGGATGCTGTCAGCAGCTCCCAGTTGGTTGCCCAGGAAAGTATAATGACAAGAAAAAGTTTCTTACCATCCTTATTGATTTCAATCTTTACAGAGAGAGGCTATCGGACACAGCCTGTTGGATAATGGCATTGTCCCAAGTGAATCTTCCCCCCCCCATCTCTCCCACTTCTGCGGGTGCTGCTAACTGCCCTCTGTCTTTGAGCTCTTTGCTCTGCTACTTTTAAGGCTCACCGGGTTCTGGGAGATGGAGGGTCCGGAATGCTTTCTAGTGACAAGGTGTCAGCCAGCTGCTGTTCTGGCTCTGGCTGCTTCTCCTCTCCCATTATTTCCCAACATTCCCCCTCATCTGACTCTGAGCTGTGACCTCCTGCAAACCACTGTTGTAAATCTATACTGTCTTCCTCTTCCTCCTCCCTGGAAGGGTCAGGATGGGGAGGCAGTCTCCACCATTCCTCCTCTGCCCAGTCCCTAACAGGTGATGGGGTAGCAGAAAGTGTTTGGGTAGAGGACGAACAGCTAAGATGACACATATCTTTCCCTTATAGAGGAAGTTCTCATCATCATCATCATCATTTTTAATTTGTATACCGCCTTTCTATCTTACAATACTCAAGGTGGTTTACAAGCTGAAGAAACAAAAAATGCACATCTTATAACAATCTCATGCAATACAAAAATGTGATAAAACATAAGTTTAAAATAGGCAGCCTACATCAAAAAAGTAACATTCAACAATCAATTAGAATAGTATAAAATAATAATATCAACATATAAAAGTTAAACAGAAATCCACTCAACAGTTACAATAATATCTAAACTATAATCAATAAAACAACGGCAAGCCACAAAACATAAAACAATACAATACACATTGAGAAGCAGAGACTAGAGGGTAGAGCAAGGCAGGTGGAAGGAGGCCTTGCCTGATGAAGTCTCTCCCCTCACAGTTCTTCCTCCAGAAACAGCTCCCTTATGAGGACTCCTAGGGCTGGAGACTCTAGAATGAATGAAGTCCAACCAACTGGTAGCTTGGTATGAGCTCCCATACTTGAACCCCAAAGGAAAAATTATCCCACAGTGGCTGATTGGAAAAGGGATGATGGACTAGGTGGCTGTTGGTCTAGGCTGGAGATGGGGAAGCTTTGGTCCTCCAGATGTCATTGGACTATTACAACTCCCATCATCTCAGACTAATGGCTATGCTGGCTAGGAGATGATGGCACTTGGAGATTCACAGGTTTGGTACCCATCTCTAGCCTAGGCTTTTCTTCAATTCTTATGAATGAGCACAAGTGTTGAATGAACTGTAAACAACCTCCTAGCACTGATGCATCCCTTGGCATTAATACGTGGTGGTTAAACTTTAGATTATCTCTCTCGGGGGATGATTGATAGTAGATACAATAAGTTCATCTTGAAGCAAACTAACTGCCAGACACAGTTTATACAATACACAAGTTCATTTAAAAATATGACGTTGGATAGTGGACATTGTGCCTCGGAATTGTTTATTTCTTTCGAGATTATTGCTTTATCACTAACAATACACTTTGATGTATCGTATTAATATAATTCAATATCCAGCAGAGGCTGCCAGACTGGAAAAAGCAGATATGTGGAATTTTAAAATGCTGAAATAATGAATGAGTCAATATCTAAGGGCAGGATATCGAAGAGGAAATGAGAAAACTAGTACCGTATATTATCCATGAAGAAATACAAATACAAAACTTACAGGGCGCATTGTACCGTTTGCATAGTAAGAATCATCCGGCAGCCACAGAATTATGATGGCAACATTAGCATTAATGATCATAATGGATTATCATTTTATCACACCCCCTCTTAACAACAAACTCAGATGGGGCCACCTCAAAATAAGAAACTGACTTCTCCATACTTGGCATGGGAGACATTCTAGACATGAAGAAGTAAATTATGTGAATTATTTATTCTGTGACTAGGCTTACTGTGTGCCCTGCCAGATCGGAATATGCACCCTAGAAAACAGGATTAGTTGGGCTGCTACTAAAAACCCAATGCCCAATCTGGGTCCTGCTGACAAGAGCCCCATAGGCCTCATAGCTGTCAACGTTTTCCTTTTTTAAGGGAAATTCCCTTATTCTGAATAGGATTCCTCACAAGAAAAGGAGAAAGTTGACAGCTATGATAGACCTGCCTCTCCTCTTCACCATTGCAATCCTGCTTGTTCACCTTCTTCTGGCCAAGGGATGAACAAATCTGTGAATTTCAGTTTTTATCCGTTCCTCACTTTTTCCATTCTTAATTTCAGCTCTTCACATTTCAATTACTGTTTAAAAAAAAGTCATGGAAATTTACCAGCATTTTTAGTGTGACTTTCTCTTAATATACATATTTGCATATGCAGTTTTGACCAATATGTCCAAGGTTCCTCAGCAGGCAAGTTGATACTGTAGGAGCAAATCAATGTTGCGCTGTTAGAAAGGTCTCATCTGCACAAGTATTTCTGCTTGCCCAACAGAATGGCCGCCACTCGCCTCCATTCATTGTTCTGGAGATTCTCTCAACCCCCCTGAGCAAATTTGGAGGAGTATTGGGGGGCATGGAGAGAGGAGGTGGGCTCCCCAGTTAGTTGAATCCACCCCATAAAGATGTGGTCCCTGGAGGCAAACATTTGAAACTCCTTGGATTCACAACTTTCTTTGCAGAACAGCACATTTAAGCTTGTCTCTCTCCGCCCTGCCCTGTCCTTGGTCAAGACACTTTGAAAAATGCAAAGCAGCCTTATGGAATCAATTTCCCACTTAAAAGACCTGACATCAGATTAGGGAAGCTGTAAAGGTTGGGAAACCGGGGGGAACAGATTAAATCAAATAACGGAGCTCTGTGACAACCAGAAAGACAGAAGGAAGGTTTGGAGTTGACAGAAACCTGGAATGAAAGAAGCATAGAGATTGAAAACAAAACCCATAAGGCATGGAAAGGCTGGAATTGAAACAGAGGGGGCAGTTGGGTACCAGAAGACAGCTATCAGATGAGAAAAATAAGGAATAAAATGCCTAAGATTGATTGCACTGAACAGGAAAATCACTTTCTCAGATACAGGTTGCTCAGGAGGGTGGGGAGAATAAAAGCAAGAGCAAGACGAAGGAGGAAAGGTTTCTGCAGTTATACCTTCTAAGGTGTTCTCTTCAAATGAACGCTGAATCAGATATATATCCCCCCTCCACGAAAATATCAAGCCAATTTTCTGTGAACTGCTGGGTGGGAAGTCAGTGTGAACAGATTGGCTTTCTGGTTCGTTCATTGATGCAATAAAACATCCGTGAAAACCAGTCGGGGGCATTTCCTCTCGTGGTGGATGTGGATTACACCCAGGGCTTTGTGCATTTGTGATTAAGAAGATGAGAAGCGCCTTCTGAATCAGGCTAACGACCCATCTAGTCCAGCAACCTATTCTCGCAGTGGGCACCAAGGCTGTAGGTAGCCCTAAAGCAGGACTTAGCACAGTTCTCTCCCCAACTGTGATTGTCGGCTGGGATTCTGAGGCATATTTCCTCTGACAGTAGAGGCCGAGCACAGCCATCGTGGCTAGTATCTACTGGTAGCCTTGTTCTCCATGAATTTTTCTAGTCCTGTTTTTAAAGCTACTCAAGTTGGCAGACATCACTACCTCTTGTGACAGCGAGTTCCACAGTTTACTTATACATTGTACTTTCTTTTTTCTTAAAAAAATAATTTTTATTAAATTTTCTACTTTTATCATATTCACATTTTGTTACATAATTCTTTAACTTAATGCATTACTCTATAAGAGCATCAACCTCCTTCCCTCCCTCTTTCTGACTTCCACACATCTTTCTCTATTCTTCACATTTCTATAATCACTTGTTTACCTTCTAGCTTATTGTAATATTTCACCTTGCTATCGGTAAATCAGTTCCTTATATTTACATTACAAAACATTTCAGTTCAAGCCTACAAATGTTTTCAGATGTTTACAATTTTCTTTCATGTAAAATATAAATTTGTTCCAGTCCTTTTGAAGCAGTTCATCACACTGATTCCGGATCTTCCCCGTCATCTTGGCCATCTCTACATACTCCACCATCTTGACCTGTACACTGTACTTTTTTTCCTCCATCCTGAATCTTCCAATCTTGTGGATGTCCACGAGTTCTAGCTTTGTGAGAGAAGGAGAGAAGCTTTTCTCTATCTGCTTTCTCTGCACAATGCGTAATTCTGTACACCTCTGCCATGTCTCCTATTATTCGCCTTTTCTCTGCTCTGCAAAACCCCCAAATGCTGAAACCTTTTCTCTTGATTATGTTGATTGCCCTTTGCCGAACCTTTCCAAGCTCTAAAATGTCCTTTCTGAGGTGAGGCAACCAGAACTGTACACAGTCTTCCGAGTGTGTTTGCTCTATAGATTTGTATAATGGCATGGTGATATTGGCAGTTCTGTTTTCACTTCTCCTCCTAGCATGGAATTTGCCCTTTCCACAGCTGCTGTTCACTGGGCTGATTCTCATACTGCACTTAGGTAAGTGTGGAATTTCTTACAAAGCTTTTTTATATATATCTCATTTTTAAAAGAGGTTTGTAGCCTCAAAGACTGCAAAGATACTGATGTTAAGAAATATATATTTCAACTTTTGAAATGAATGGTTCATGTGCTTTCTCAAGTTTTGGATCCTTGGGTTGGGGGGCTCAGGGGTAGAACACCAGCTTGGCATTCCGAAGTTCCCAGATTCAATTCCTGGCATCTCCAGATAGGGCTTGGAGATACCTCCATCTGAAACTCAGGAGAACTGCTGAAAGTCAGGGTAGGCAGCACAGAGCTATACTTGATATAAGGTGGCTTTCTGCCTTCCTATTCCAGGTTATTATTAGTTGAGCTCAAGAAAGTACTTCATTGGCGTTGCGGCTCTCTGATTGCGTGCAGTTCATCAACACTCAATAACCAGACCCTTGGAGCAACGGCGAAAGGAACAGCTCAGCTGCCACATATGAAAAAGCATCTCTGCCTTGGAAACTGCACTGGCGGAGACAGGTGTTGAAAACAAATGTGCAGTGATTTGCTCATTGTCTCAACCGCAGGATAATCAGGGCTGGGAGTAATAGTGCTATATAGATGCTTTCCGAAAGAATGAAGCGACATCGTCTTATTAACTCGAAGGAAACGGGTGGTTACTCTCAGCATCGTAACTGAGCTCTTCAAATAGAGGGCACCTTCAAGCAGAGGACTGCCCTCTCATAGCCCTTCAAATAGAGGACTGTTCTATGTACAGTGAGACACATGCCTACTCTAGCCAGGGTGGGGATACAGCATAACACTTCATTGCAGGTCCTGGGCCAACCCAACACCTTTTTGCAGCCTGAGGCAAAGGACAAGATGGCAACTTCCCTCCCATTCCATGCATAAAAGATGACTGAATTTTGCATTTTGCAGCCTAGCTTCTGCATTGCAGGGCAGGCTGCACAGGATCCTATAACACCTTGCTGCCATTCTTTGCTCCATACCCTTAGCACACACTACCTGAGGCAGCTGCCTCCTTCTGCCTAATGGAGAACTGGCCTTGAGAAAATCTTGCTTGTCTTTCTCATTTCTCATTTTGGTTCTGGCTCCTCTGCTTCTCCCTTTCAGAGTTTCTGTTTCTACCACCGCTGACAGTTTAGCTCACTTTCCTGCTCCCTGAAGAGAAAGCTTATTGATTCCAGCAGCAGCAATTTGACATTTTTCCCCAGAAGGACCTCACAGCATTCAAAGAGGGATCATCCAGATCTGTTCGTGATGCAACTTCTGCAGACAGGTCATCAATGCAATTCGTTTTTTCACCCCCTCCTCCCTTTGAGAACCCAATATTTCAATTTGTTTGCTCCTGCTCCTGCTCCCTTTTTTGTAAAGTACACAATCGGAACGAACGAAAGCAATATAGCTCTAAGTACGCAATCGAGAGGAAAGCAATATAGCTTTGTTTCTAAGCTGTCATACTGTGTTTCCGGTTGCCTGGCATACAAACTGGTTTCTTTTGTTGGATTGCAACTTAGCTCTTTCTCCCTGGCACTGTGCAGCTTCAAAATATAATCATTCTGCTGACATTCCTCTTTTGTTATTTAATATACTATCGCTATCAATACAATGTGGCGTGTCTGACACAGTTAAGACCACTTTAAAACCGAAAAGATATCTGAAGGGGGAAATGCAGTATAAGCCTGAACATCAATACCTCTTTCCCAAAACAAGTTCCAAGCAGAAACACACACACACACACTGCAAATTGAGATTGGGTCGGCCTTCCTTTTTTATATATATAAATTTTTATTAACAATTTCAACATAACAAATTATCAAAACAAATCATCTTCATTATTCCCCCCCCATTTTCCCCTCCCACAACAACAAACCCTCCCTTCCTCCCCCCTATGACTTCCCTCACCTCCTCTTTCTGATTTCTCAACCAATGTTAACTTCTGTATATTATAAAATTGTATTCATCCTTATATTATCTATCTACTATGTTAACCCTCAATAAATTTGTGTATGTTTATTCAAAACCTGCCAAGGACTCCAGTTCATTTTGTTGTCTTTTTAAATAGTTTGTAAAAGGTTCCCATTCTTCTTTAAAGTCACAGTTGTCCTTGTCTCATAATTTGCATGTCAATTTTGCCAGTTCTGCATAGTTCATCAACTTCTCTTGCCACTGTTCTTTTGTTGGGGTTTCCTCATTCTTCCATCCTTGTGCTATCAAGACTCTTGCCACTGTTGTAGCATACATAAAGAAGTTCTTTCTTTTCCTTGGCAGGTCTTGTCCTACTATCCCTAACAAAAATGCTTCTGGTTTTTTGTATAAATGTTATTTTAAACATCTTCTTCAACTCATTATATATCATTTCCCTTTTTTAAAAAAAAAAATTCTCTGCATTCCTACCACATATGGTAAAAGGTCCCTTCCTTTTCTTTACATTTCCAACAGATGTTTGACCCAGTTTTATACATTTTTGCTATCTGTACTGGTGTTATATACCATCTATACATCATTTTCATGTAATTTTCTTTCAGAAGAGAAAGATTGGGTCAGCCTTCCAATAGCTGAGATGAGATGCAGATAGCGGGTGAATGGAATAGCTGTCACAGTGGTGGGTCTATAAAAATGCTTATTTCATCTCCAGCCTGCCTTTATTCTTCGAGGCTCAGATGGGGCTCAACCTGGGAAGATAGCCCATCTAGGAGAAGGAAAACTGATTCTAAACCTCCATTGCCTTGTGACATATCTTCAGGAGAAGAAAAGGCTAAGTAAACCCTACACAAATCCGGAGTGGAGTCGGGAGTGGAGTGACGCCTTGTACGCCTCCTACCAGGAACTCCTGCAGCCACCCTAGTCCCAAACATATTGCTCTGCTTTTGTTGGGTCTTGTCATCTGGGCAGCCCAGGACCTCCATGCGCACAGGCCAGGCTTTTGCCCTGGGAATGCCACATTGGTATTGCTAATGCAGCAGTTTGACTTCACCCCCAAGAGGTGTACTCCATTTTCTCTTGAGACAGACAGATGCCAATCCCATTTTGTTCTGTAGAACGCAGAGCAACATACATAGTCCCAGGCATCAAACAGACCAAGACCCACAGAGTTTCAACAAGCCTGTTGCATAGTGAGCTTTCAGACCATGTTTTGCTGGCCTCCAGGGATTACACTGTGTATGGCAGCTGTGGGGAACCTCTGGTTTATGGGCCTAATTAAGGCCAACAACCTTACCAGTTTGGTCCATCAGGCCATTTCTCCTGCCTTACATCTGATATCATACGCAATGTCAGACGTTAGGTAGAAAGATTGGGCTGAAAGATTGGCAGCCACTAACAGTCAGTTGATCAGCTGGTTCAACCCCTGCCTTCAACCCCTGCCTTAAAGTCTGGAGAGCTGCTACTACTCAGTGTGGACAATACTGAGCTGGGTGGACCAATGGTCTGACTAGGTATAAAGCAGTTTCCTATGTTGTGGCAACACAAGAACAGGGCCTTCTCTGTGGTGGCTCCCTATTTGTAGAATGCTCTCCCCAGGGAGGCTCACTTGGTACCTTCATTACTTATCTTTAAGCCCCAGTAGAAAACATTTCTCTTCAACCAGGTGTTAGGCTGATTGACATTCTATGGTTTTAAAATGTGTTTGTGGGAGGGGAGTTATTGGTTTTGTTTTATTATGTATTTTGTATTCTCAGTTTGTATCTTTCCTTTGGGAACTGCCCTGGGTTCTTTGGCTGAAAAGTGGTATATGAATTTAGAGAATAATAATAATTCCCATGTAAAAATTTATTATTATTATTATTATTATTATTATTATTATTATTATTATTAACAGGTACCTGTGCATGTTTTCCTCCCATTGCCCACTCCACCTCCTGCTAAACTGGTGCAGCTCTTTTTTATGACTTAGATTTTGCACACCATCTTGTCTGCTCACATTAATCTGAAACATCAATGTCTGAGCTGTTGGCTCTGCAGATTATACTTATCATTTCAGTTAGTTTGCGCAGAATAGATTAAATGTGAAATGGCAGCTTTGCTACCGAGAGCTCAATGCGTTCAACCTGAAAGGTTGCCTTAGATTTGTAGCTGCCCAATGTCAGGAATCAGTGTGGCATTTATGATTTTGTTCTCCGGGTGCATTTTAGCTAGGCTTTCTCTGCCTCCAGCTCGACTGAATGCCGTGGAAGACAATGCATGGAGATATCTATCTATCTATCTTTGGAAACCCTCTGCACCAGAAATCATCCACTTTTGTTCTGGCCTCCTTGCTTGCTGCTCCTTAATTTGTGCAGTGCTAAGATAGCACAGTGAATAGAGGAACAGAAACAGTGCATGGAGCAAGATAGGATCCCCTGTCCCATTTTGCAAAGAGATGGTACTAGTCTGTAAGGGGAAAGAAGGTAATAATGATAACACCAAATGGGTTTTAATCTCTGAGCGCTGTAGTGTATGCAAAGTAACACATTTTGGAAGAGACAAATACCTTGGCCAGCATAACAGGTGGAAAATGGGTATGTAAGAAAGGAACATACAGCTCCCATAATGACATAAAAGGAACCTGCTGGAACAGACCAATGGCTCCGCTATTCCACACACGCACACCCCATGGCAAGATGGCTAGATGGCCAACCAGATGCCTGTGGGAAATCTTCAAGCAGGACCTCTCCCCTCCTGTGGCTTCCAGCAACTAGTTTTCAGAAACATTACTGCTTCCAACTCTGGAGGCACAGCATAGCCATCATGGCTAGGAGCCACTGATAGCTTTCTTGTCCATGAATTTGTCTAATGCTCTTTTAAAGCCACACGGGTGGCGCTGTGGGTTAAACCACAGAGCCTAGGACTTGCCGATCAGAAGGTCGGCGGTTCGAATCCCCGTGACGGGGTGAGCTCCCGTTGCTCGGTCCCAGCTCCTGCCCACCTAGCAGTTTGAAAGCACGTCAAAGTGCAAGTAGATAAATAGGTACCGCTCCGGCGGGAAGGTAAACGGCGTTTCCGTGCGCTGCTCTGGTTCGCCAGAAGCGGCTTAGTCATGCTGGCCACATGACCCGGAAGCTGTACGCCGGCTCCCTCGGCCAGTAAAGCGAGATGAGCGTCGCAACCCCAGAGTCGGTCGCGACTGGACCTAATGATCAGGGGTCCCTTTACCTTTAACTTACAATATTTGGTACAATACAATAGCATTCAGGAGTGATAAAAGCAAATACTTCTTCATGCAGTGCCTAGTTGAACTATGGAACTCGCTCCCACCGAGATCCAGCTCTGAGGTTGTGAGTCGAGGCCCCGCTCCCCGCTTTGTGATGAAATAAGACACATGGACACAAGTATTTAGGTTAATGGGCTAAAAAAGGCCACAACTTTATTGGTTACAGAATGTGAGTGGTGTTGGCTTAGGCATTGGATCTGAACAGACTATACTTGACTCCTGTCTGAGGAAGCAGGAACAAAACAAGGAAGAGCTCATGGACCTGCGGCCGTTTAAATGCGGCTAAATGACACCCCTCAGCCAGCTGTGGGCCCAGGACTCCAGTGACGCAGGGGACCCTGCCATGCCCCCCTGCGAGTGCGGGAAGCGATTCCCGCTCACAACCCCTCCACTCTGGGAAGAGGAGAGGCCTTCCCTCACTGCGAGACATGAAGTTACAGGGAACCAGGCAGAGGGCCTTCTCAATAGTGGCACCCACCCTGTGGGACGCCCTCCCATCAGATGTCAAGGAGATCAAGAACTACACAACTTTTGGAAGACATCTGAAGGGAGCCCTGTATCAGGAAGCTTTTTAATGTTTGATGTTATATTATGTTTTTATATGTGTTGGAAGCCGCCCAGTGTGGCTGGGGAAGCCCAGCAAGGTGGGTGGGGTATAAATAATAAAAATATTATTACTATTACTATTAGTGTGGATAAGCCCTAAGTGCTCTTGAGCTCAGGTCTTGCTTCAAAGCTTCCCACAGGCATCTGATCAGCCCCTGTGAGAACTGGATTGGCCTGATTTAACAGAATTTAATTATGTTCCCTCCTGTAACAACATATTTCTGGTTGGAAAGTTTTGACTGCCTATGATTTCTCAATCTTTAACTGTCAGTCTGGTGCACAGAAAGGTGTGCCCGGCTGATGAAGGTCTGAGACGGGAGAATGCGGTAGACAATAAAAACCAATGTGTTTCATTTAGCAGTTTCTAAGGAAGGCTGCAGTTATAATTGTTTTGAGTCTCTGTCCCGGGAATACAAGTTCTTTTGCTTTGACCCAGCCTTTTAACTCAAGTTATCCCAGAAATAATAACTGTGAGCACTCAGGCCAGAAAAACATTTTCTTGCTCGCATTTTTCACCTCCCCAGTGGCTCATTTGGAATAGGAACACGTACCATTTAGGTCTCGTCCTCTGCCGCAGTAAGTTACAAGTAAGTTGCACGCCTTAAAACAAGAGTGCATCTTCCTTAGTGGGTGAGAGAGAACCATTGTTGTATATGTTTCATAACTAGCAAGGATGCAGTCCAGCCTCAACAGAGGTTAGTCCACTAGGGGCACAGTCACCCCACACATTTAAAGAACTATTATTCATTCATGACCCCCCCCCCAAAATAATTCTGGGCTTTCTGGTTTGCTGAGGTTGCAAAGTGTCAGGAGTTTAGCCTACACTCAAGTAGGACCCTGGCAGAGACACATGCCTGACTGGCATGTTGTCTCCCTCCTGGTTGACCATTTGGGAGCTTCATAAGCTTTCTTCAGCCTGAACATCACAGTGACCGATGCCAACCGACACTGGCACACTTAGGGATCCGCAGAGTTTGTGCATCATGCACTTAACAGACCTCAGCAACTCAGCATTTTGGCTAATCTACTTTACTTACATATAAACACACACGGAGCACTGCAACATGGCTCCCTCTCTGGGAGTCTTCTCTTCTCATGAGGTGGCCAAAGTATTGGAGCCTCAGCTTCATGATCTGTCCTTCCAGTGAGCACTCAGGGTTGATTTCCTTTAGAATGGATAGGTTTGATCTTCTTGCAGCCCATGGGACTCTCAAGAGTCTCCTCCAGCACCATAATTCAAAAGCATCAATTCTTCGGCGATCAGCCTTCTTTATGGTCCAGCTCTCACTTCCATACATCACTACTGGGAAAACCATAGCTATTCCCCTTACATAGCTACAATTCTCAGAGTTCCCTGTGAAGAGGTTTGGATTGTTAAACCATTCTGGGAATTTTTGCTCTGTGAGGGGAATAGGGGTCTCCTAATCACTCTTGGCGCCTTTAACAGCTCTCAGAATCCTTCATGGGAAGCCATGACTGTTCTAAGCGGCATCACGGTGCTTGAAATATAGGGCGCAAATGCGACCTAGGTGTTCCACCCCAGCAGGCTCAGTCTGGCCTCAGCCAGTACCCT